TAATAAGAACCTCAAAAACTTGTAATCGCTTTTGAGCGGAAAATATGTTATAAATATAAAGTCTGCAAATTCAATTTCTTTTCATTGTTTTGTTTCAGGTGGAGGATTTCATTGGAAACTTGCGCACGGCTGCTGTAAATCTAAGTGTCACACCGGAGGAGCCCGGTGTCTCTCAGCCTCTCCCGCCGTCGTCCTTCCAGCGTTTCCTGCGATCTCGGTCGATCCCCGGTGTTGTTCTCGAGGATCACCAGTCTTCGTTCACCAACAAGTAAATCCGAGTTTCGTGACGTTAGAATCTGTTTTCCTCGAGGAACAGACGTGTTCATTGTTTCTGTTCTGTGCGCAGGTTCTATGAGAGTATGTACGATAACGGAGAATACATGAACATGTCTTACCCTCCGAATCTGACGCCAGAGGAGCAGCTGGAATTTGTCACGGACAAAGCGAAGGTATTTCGATTTAACACTGATTACCAATGTTTAATTACCTTCACAGATAGAATCCATTACTTAAAATCTTCATACTTTCTCTGCGATGCTTCTGTTTATAGAAACGTTACACAGATGTTGCAGCTCCTATAAAGATTTTCTTCATTTCTCTTCTCTTGCATCTTTCAGGCTCTGACGGAGGTGGCCACCCTGGTTGCTCGGGCTCTGTACAAGCAGGCGGGAGGAGCAGAATCCATGCTGGACAGCATCAAAGCCGACCCTCAGATCGTAAGACTGCTCGATTTTATTTGTAGGGTTAATACGTACGTTTCAATCGTATCTAACAGCTCACTGTTCATATTCTACGTTTATTTGACCCTTTTCAAATATTGAGAAAATAGTGTTTTGACAGTGCAAGTCAACATGTACATGAAAATACTATTTTAACTACCAGACAGCGTGTTTTCTTCTTCGTCGTCACACGGTTGTTACTCTTCGCTGACACCTCTGGCTCATGTTTTGTGTCGTCTCTGTTCTGTTTGTCTCAGGTGACCCAGATGCTGTATGGTTTCCTTGTTCGGACAAATAACTCCTGGTTCCAGCAGCTAATCCCCTCGGACTTCATGAGTCACCTGTGTAAGTTCTTATAAGAGCTAATCCTGTTTAAACTAGAATCTACACATGCGGTCAACAAGGGACGACGCTGGTCGACTCAAACACAACACTTCAACCAGAAATGAAATGAAAACTGCTGTGTGCAGTGTTTGCATCTGACTTTTGGGGTTTTTAACAAAACGCAGCCACACCGTTGACTTTTTTGACATGACGTCATTTAGTTTGGAGCCAACTCTGAGTAAATGTTGTGTCTGAGGTTGGACAAGTTGTCACATGTTGCGTCTCAACCACTGCAGAAAATAACACCAGCGATTATCTGACCAATGAGAATCTGTCCTGACGAGAGCTTGTTGAACAGGAGACTGCAGCTTTTACTGATTTCTGTTGTTAGACTTTTAATTATTGACACTTTTGTCACCGCTGATGTGAAGAAAAAAAATACATTTCCAGACACAGAACGATTATTCCCTCTGTTTTTCTTTCTCTTAGCCAACAGACCGCCTAACTTGTACGTCGGTGCCATCCAGCAGGCAAGTGAACCAACCGTTCTGGTGCAGTACCTGCTGGCCAACCTGACGGGCAGCACCGTCAACATCAGCCGGGAAAACTGCCAGAGCCAGAGTGAGGATGACGACGACAAGGAGAGCAGACATGTAAGACAAATACTGATGGAGTCTCTGTTTTTATTGATTTGCTTTGATTGACTAATTATTTTTCTTTATTTATGTAATAATGAGAAATGTTTGCAGTGTCTAAAATCACGTCTTCAGAATTTCTTCTTGTACAAACAAAATCCAAAGATATTAAATTTATTGTCATCGAAAGCAAAGAGACACTGAAACCAGTAAATATTTAATGTTTCTGCCTGATGGATCCATCACTCATCAAATTCGTCAGATTAACTTTGACTAAATTATTCAAGCTCTGGAAATGCTATTAGCTGGAAGTGGAAACATGAGACAGAGTGATTGGAAAAACTGTAATTAAAGAAATACATTTGTTTGCTCTCAGTTAATATTATGAGTAGGAATTAAAAAAATAAATATATTCTTTATTGTCTCCTCCCTCAGATGTACAGCTACATGTGGGTTCAGGGTGCGGCCCCGCCCAACAGCACACAGCGGGAGGGTTACTGTGTCCGCTCCAGTGCCCGTCTCTCAAAAGCCGTGTCCCCGGCGTTCGACCTGCGGGAGTTCACCTCCAGAGATTACTCCACGTGGACCGAGTCCCGGTGGAAGCCCTTCAAGGGACGCATATTCCTGGTGGCTAGTCACGAACTGGAGGTACAGCAGAGATATTTAGGCTTAATTTCTGGATGGTGGGATGAAGTGGAGACGCGTCGTCCATCTTTATTCACAGTCTGTGCCTCCGCTCAGTGTTTAGAAGCTAATAGAGAATTAGCGGCTGAAGAAAGTGGAACGTTAAGATGCTATTTAGCCAAATATTTCCCTCAGGATCTCGAGTCGACCAAAACAAAGCTGAAGGGAGAATTGACATTTGATTTAAATTCATCAAGTGGACAGAAATAAATGCTAATGTTAACAAATCTGCTTTAAAGCTGCGTTAATGTGTTGTTGTTCTGCAAAAACTTTCCCAGTGATCATTTGAACTTTTCCATTAAAACTCTCCTCCTTCACCTCCTCCAGATGTTGACGTTGGGTGTTGGCGTCGGCATTTTGGTGACGTCCCTCCTTCTGACGTACTTTATAAGCGCTAAGGCCGACATACTCTTCAGCTCGGGGAGGGAATCCACCAGCGCCACGTACTGATCCACGCCCGAGGCGACGCAGGCCCACGACCACTATTACTTCTACGATTACTACTTTTACTTTTATTACAGACGTTGACAGGACATTTTCTTCAAAACACACAATGGTTAGGTACACACAGGTGGGACACAGCAGCTGGATGAGGGTGGGGGTGTGGGTGTGGTTATTAGACGACGACTCCGTGGTTGTAGACTCGCGTCTGTGAGGCGCGAGACGAGGACTGGACCGAACTAGATTGACCTGGGTGGATCTGGACTCATCAGGGTTAGAAAACGCTGGTCAGGCACCAGAGGACCCTGCCAGCGGAAAAATAAGATGTTTATATTTCTTTTGTTTTAGTTTTTTTTTTTTCTTTTTATTGTCAAAGAATGTTTCGGTTCACTGTGTCACGTGACAGGCACAAAAACATGAAACGTTAATTTGAGTGTGTGTGATTGTGAATATGTAAATGTGACTGAGTGTGTCCACAAGTGGCCGCGTGACTGAGTGCGTACGATTATTTGTAAGAGTGTGAGTGAGCTTTATATGAGGATTGCGATGGTGCACTACTGTAGCTGTCTTTTCTGTCATGTAGTTAAAATATCACTCAGTTCTAATGATGAGAAACCACTTTGTGAGTCAGTGAACAAGTAGAAGCATTTAAATTTTCGTTTTGCAAAATCTGGAAACGTATGGTGAGCTGTTTAATTTTAATAAGTTCTAGAACCTGGGAGAAACGTCACTCTAATTTATATTGTTCAATCCCAGCACGTGTAAAACTACACATGTATGTGGTTTTCAACACACTGCGGTTTCACATATTGTGATATTTGTCTGGAGAAGAAGAGATTCCTAAACATTCGAGAGTCTGACGAGACCGCAAAACGTTTCACTGAGCATCGATCGGCTGCTGAAATCTTCCAGATCCAGTCAGACATCTTTTTGCTTTGACACTGAACATGTGTCGGTACTCCGGCTGTGCACTCGTTTTCTCACAAGGTTTCTTTTGACTTCTGAAAAATTGTGACCACGGGCAAGAGTTTTTAATTTTGTTGATGGATGTTCATTTAATGGCTGGAATAAACGACCAGTTGTGATGCCTTGATGAAGAAATAAACATTGCTTCTTTTCCAGTTTTTTATTTCTTGGTGGTTTTAACTTCAAGACTTTAGTTTATTGTCATGAATGAAGAGCTCGTGAACTGGATCTGGCACCGATCCATGAAAAAAGAACCAACAAGGATAACACGGCCTCAGTTTACTCGTTTTATTTGGGTAAACGCGTCTTTGTCTCACTCACCTTACGGAGAATAAGCAGGAGGGAAGGTGCTAATTTCTGTTTCCACTAACACACAGTATAATTGAGTGTAGATACTTATTTACAGAAGCTTTCTCTCGCTCATCGTTTTATTCTGATAAACGTTTCCTCACTGAAATAAGCCGTGAAGTAACACGTCACCGAATTAGATTCATGATCTGCTGCTCCAGAGCCAGGACTTGAATCGTTCTTTGTCGAAGACCACGAGTGCTTCTTTTTAAAAAACTAAAAAAAACATTTCAAACGGCCGGTGTGGAATTCTTTCAGTTCCTCTCCCAGACCTCCGTCCTCTCGGCTTTTCTTTTTACACTTCACCTGAGGACCCTTCAATCCACCACAGCTGCAAAGACAATTAAACTCCAGTTATTGTTATTGTGTGTGGTTGTGCACTTTCTCACTAGCCTGTACTCTGTGAGGGTGACGTCATCACAGAGAAAGAGAGAGAGAGAGAGAGACCCTCCTGTCCCCCCCCCCACGGGGGGGAGACACGGGAGGAGGGGCCAAACCAGGAGAGGAGGCGGGGCGCTCGACGCTACGGCTGAGTGGAGGAAAGAAAGTGGAAAGTGAGAAAATAGCTTGAATGGACGATCCGGAATAAGTAAGTGGGGTTTTGTTTTTGTGTGAGCGTGTGTTTTTAAAAAAATGTGCAGAAATGCTGCGGGTGTCGGTGGTTTGTGTGGCCGCGTGAGGAGCGAGGGACGCGGGGGACGCAGGAGCCGCAGCTCGGCTCCGGTTTCCACAAACAATAGTCGAGAGGACGCGATGGTCGCCGTCTTTTTTTTTTTTTTTTTTGAAACCACAGGAAAGTTCAGGACCCTCGCTGGCTCTATTGTTGTCCCCCCCCCCTTGAGGTCGAGTATCCGCGGGGATCGAACTCAAACACGGGAGTGGTGGTTCGGTGCTCCGGTGGAGAAACTACCGGGGTGGTTTGTGTTTTTTTTAATCTCGAGGTTTCGGGGTGATGAGTCTGGGAGCAACGAGCGCGTCCAGCTCGGTTCTAGGCCCGAAGCTTTTGAATCGTCTCCTCGGTGGGAACGTGAGAGCGCCCATTCATTTACCGTGAGGAGGAGGAGGAAGGAGGAGGAAGGAGGAGAACCGACGAGCATTCGGGTGATTTGGCATCAGGACGCGAGCCGGTGGGGCCTGGGAGTCTCCCATTGTCCTGCGCCTCTCCGACACCCTCCTGCTCTGGGTGCGCGGGTCGCTCTCCCTCTCCGGCCCCGGCTCCTCGCAGTGAGTGCCGGTGTGTCCGTGGCCCTTTGTGCGTGAGGAGTGTGTTTTGAATTATTAATGCGGGACCCACTGTTGATCCAGCGGGGGGAACGTGGAGGGGGGGGCCCCCCGGTGCCTTCTCTCTGCTCCTCAGAGGAGTTAGGACCCACCAGGAGTCTGCTGGCTCTTCACTTTAAAGCATCAGAGTTACCTGTTACATGTAAAGTGACTGTGACATGGAGTTATCATTCATGTCACACTGACACTAAAGGAAATACAAAGTGTTCAAGGTTTCAGTGGCTCACAAGCTTTTGAATTTTTAGTTTTCAACTTATAAAACCCACGAATGGTGAGAAACTACAGTTTGATCTATTAATCTATGAACATACTCAAGAGCTGTGATGGTTTTCATCTACGTTTCTTATTATTGTGTGAAACCAACAGACTCCAAACCCCAAATGTGTGAAATTATAAATGATATATTTGATTTGAGTTGGATCCAGTACATTTTTTTGTGTGGTATTTTTTACTCTTAAAATGCTGAGTGATTGAGTTTACTGCTTTAAATTGATTTCACACAATAACACGTGTGTGCAGTTGCTTTTTTGGTGGTAAGTGTTTTTCTTAAGTTATTCCAGTCACACACAAAAAAAAACTGAAGTCAGACGTGTGCCACTGTTGAAGGGCGAAGTAGGACAGGACTGCAGCTAATGATTACAGCTGGACGTTAAGCATTAAGCTCCTGTCGTCTATGAAATATCAAAAACATTTAATATGGTTGTCAGAGTTGTGAAAACACAAGGTGAAGTCCTATAGAGATGTTACTTCAAACTGTCCAAAGCGAGTTAATGATTCATCGATGTCAGTGTGAATTAAAAAGTCAATTCTAAATGAAGATATCTACGATTTATCGCCGATGTCTGATCCCAGTGTGTGGACGGTACGTCAGCGAGTGGGAGACGTTTCCTGAAGAGACAACAGTAGAATTGTCCACCTCACATCAGGGTGTTTGTAGAAATGTGAAACCGAGGAGAAGTAAAAACAGGAACGTTTCACTTAGACACAACCACGGAAGGTTAAGTAGGAGAATGTGTAAACTTACTAACTCAACATGTTCGATCGCTCGCTGCGATTCTCTGATTTTACTCTGACGGGATGAGGTTCCAGAAAATGTTTGGGGCAACTTACTCGGACATTTGCATTCTCACTTACAGTTTCCATTTCAGGAAAATGTCCACAGTCCTGAAAGCAGCTCAGATAATTGCAACAACAATCAAAAGTGCCAAAACATTTAAAAAACCGGTTCCAGCTTCTCCAGTGTGAATATCAACTGTCTTTCATGTTCTTCTATAAAAGTAAAGACGAGAGCACCAGACAGAAGACGTCAACTCTCTCTATTTCCTGATGTTCTATAAGACGAAATGAGTGATTCTGAAGAAATCAGCAGACGAATCAACAGGAAGCGAACGTGCGATGGTCAGTGGACGTGAGTCTGTGGCTTCATCGAGTCTTTTATCCGAAACCACATCAAGTCTAATCTCCGCTCGTCGGGCCACTTCCTGTCCCTGCAACACTGTGTTTGGATACGAGGACAGCTCGTGTGCAGGGGTCCCTTTGAATCCCAGCACGGAGCAGAAGAAAGGCTTGTTGATTCAACCACACCCTGTTGGATTTCTACACACATGCACACACCTGCTCCGGTTTGCCGGCCATGTGTGCACGAGGGCCGACAGTTGTCTTGTTGTTTGCTGGTTTTTACCGATGTCGTCGCAGGCAGCAGTGGGTGGTGTTTGTGTGTGTTTGTGTGTGTGTGTGTGTGTGTGGCCCTGGTACTCTGATGAGCCTGGTGTCCTGCTGGAGGCCGGGTGTGTGCACGCTTATTTTCACAGTTGGTATATCAGGTCTCAAAAGGCTGCTGAACGGAGCTGGTCATTTCAGAGTTGGCCCAGATTGCTTCTCCGCCCTGACAGCTGCCAACTCTGTGCCAGCGGCTGGAAATGTTTGATGACAGCTTGATTTCTTTTTGCCCTTGGGACAAACAGAGACTGTAAAAAAAAAAAAAAAAAAAATCTGCATCTGCTTGTTTTAAATGTCGTTCGCCTTCAGCTGCACGTCTGGTTTCATCAGCCTGGATTTAAAAACAACATCTTGACTATTTTAGATTTAGGAATAGAGACTTGGATATTAATGCATCGTAAAACAAACCAAATGAAGAAATGAGGAATCGTTAAAGATTCTGAAGATGAAGTCGAACAGTTTTGTTTTTCTCAGCGCAGTAACTTAATCGTCCAAGGGAATAACATTTAAAAAGCTAAAATCAAGATTGAGTCTTGATATTGTTGGATTTGTTTTGTTAGAATCTTGAAACTTTTTCTGTTTTACAAACTTATTATAAATCACTCAATAAAACAAGATCAAGAAAACAAGATAAAGAATCTGAAAAACAGTTTTGTACCAGGTCATAATCATGTATCGTTGATGCATGGCTCTAATTTCTACTTGTGGTTTGTTTCAAGCTTAAAATATCAGTGCACGACCGTCGCTCCCTCTGAGGACATGTCCTCTGTAGTATTTCTTGGAAGTTTAGATTATATTTAGGATTTTGTAAAACAATCGAACCTAAAGGATTTAGTTGCATCCTCCAGAGAGATATCATTTACAGAGAAGATATTGATTAATTAACGCGTGTACTTTATTCAGATTTTAGCCGTGCAGGCTATGCTTCATCTGCAAATGACACAGATGCATTAAAACACAATATTACACTCAGCGTGAATGATTCATAAACCAATGAAATAACTGCATGACGTACGAAAACAAGGACAGAGGCGCAAAAGTAGAAATGATCTTTAAAACACGAGGAGATGAGAGGATTGTTCATTGATCTGCAGAGTATAGAATGAAAACAGGTAAAACAGAATAGAGCTATAAAGGGTCAATTACTCACAGTGCACAAATATAGAGGCAGTCACTACATCCACCATATTATACACATAATATATAGAGTCATATAATATTAAGACTTAGGTGTTTAGTTCTTATGTTCCTGGTTCGTGCTGCTCGATAATAAAACTCTGAATTTGCAGAGCTGCTTTTTCTAAGTGGTATTTTACAATCTCCTCTGGCAGCAGCAACTGTCAGATTAAAAATCCTGTTTTCCTCCTGGTGTTCTGTCGGCTGAAGTGAAATGGTTTTACACTCCCTTTGGCTGGAGCCATAAAACCGTCCAACCGTGGCACAAGTAGCCCTGAAGCCCCACATCCTCACCGTTTAATCTCAGACCACACACATGCACAGATTACTGCCGCGGCCTGTTGTCGAATTCAGTCAAGACCCGAGTGAACAAGGGTCGTTCTCATTTTCAGAAAGTCAGACTTTGAAGCAGGGCTGTGAGAAATTAATGGTGTGTGTGTGTGTGTTTTTTCTTTAAATCCTGAAATAACCTGAAGAATCACTCTACTGTTCGGTTAACAATGGCCGCCCCGGAACAATAGGGAGGAAAGAAATGAACCTGTGCATTCTGGGAAGAAGATTACGGAAAGCCGAGAACAACAACAGGTTATGTTTTCTTTTGCCGAACGGGCTCTCGGACGTGAACAGTCGA